GTCTGAACTCTCCAGCACAGCACTTCCGTGCTGTGCCCAGGCAGAATGCGGAAGGACATTTTCCTACAACGTTGGGAAAGGCTTTGGCACAGAGACGTGGAACGTGCAGTTGGAAGCTGGCTGGGGCACCATGACATGAGGACTTGAGGGAAAGGGGCAGGGCCCAGTTTGCTCCTTATACCACTCAGACCTGCTTGTGCTCTGCATTAATTCCCTCCATCACGTCAATGCTTCTTCACGGTGGTGGCCAGTCACAGCGTACAGAATGAAAACTTTCAGTCGGAGGATTAGTGAAACTAATTATAGTCCTTGCTGCTGTAGTTGGGTCTGGTGTTCTAATAAACATTCATTATTTCCCTCCTCCACCAACCGTTCTAGATTCCCCTCTCACTTGGCAGTGCTTCTGGTGATCTAGGTCGCTTTTCTAGCGAGGTAACAGAGACCTTCACCTCTGAAAATTGCAAACCTTTCATTATCGTGCCCTTGTTAGGTAACAGTGCATGCAGTTCCCATTTATGGTTTTCCAGGGACATGGAGGTACCATGAAGAGCCCCCAGTGAATTCCTGGGGTACCGTACATACTGCCTATCCCCATTCTGCAGCAGCAACCTTAGAAGGATCTCGTGGGATAGTCCGTATGAATTACTCCTGCTGGTAGAGTGACTCTTTCTTTAGCCCGCTTGCATTATGCTGTACCTCACTCTTCTCATGATGGTGTGAGATGACACGCCTACGCAATGAGATGGAGTGAGGAGAGGCATTGTGGTTTAGTATTAGGTTCCTACCGACCTTCTGACTACACGTCAGAAGGATCATCTGCTTCCAGACTGCTGACGACAACAGGTAACAGAGAGGGGGCACCACTGGACCTCCGTGTAGACTACAATGGGTGATCTGTTTTACCCGTCGACAGAGTGTCAAACAAAAACCTATATGGTGAAGAATTGGTCCCAAACGTTTTAGGGAGCTATTTTTAGAATCTTCATCTTGAAGCTAATCTTTTCCTGGGCCCCTTCTCAGGAAGTTCAGTGAAGAAAGAGCTTTCCATTTTCCCTCCTCCCTCGCTTTCTTGTGAAAGTATTTACTCTTCATCAAGGAAATGAAGAGTGAGTTTATATTGGAATTTTTATACTCAGAGTGGATTTAATATGGAGTTTTGAGAATAAGACAATTCTTTTTTTTTTTTTTTTAACTTTTTATTTTATCTTCAAGCCCAACGCAAGGCTCGAATTCACAACCTCAAGATCAAGAGTCACATGTTACACCAACTGACCCAGTCGGGTGTCCCAAGACAGTACTAATTTTAATACTTTTAAGTATTAAAGCCAATAAACTTTTGGTGTGCATAATTCATATTCACGAGAGAGCTTTTCTTAGCTTCCTAATTATTAGTCATTCCACCTTTGAAATTATTGGTTATTTATTTTAGTGACTTTGTATGTTGGAATCACTTCATCTATGAGAAGCAAGCCCAGGGAGACTTCAGGCATTGCTTAGCTTTGCTCTTCTGTTCTCAGGTATAAACTTGGGCAACACTGAAATTGTGATTTGCAAATTGCTGTCAATTCATAAGTGCTGGAGGTTGTTTTGAAGCCCTCTGCTGTCATCCAACTCTTAGGCTCCAGCCTTTTTTTCCCCATTGAGGCTGCTGACCTAGTGGTCTCCTGCCCCATTCTTCCTGGAGGTCCCGGGGTACTTCTGCCACTTTTGGTAGAGACAACATTAGCAACCACAGAACTGTGGATCAAGGGATCCAGGCCATAATCGGTGGAGAAATTTTTCTGAAAGAGGCTGCAGCGTTACCACAGTCTCCGTGTGAGGATGGGCCAGCCAGCAGCCCAACATTCTGGGATTATTTTCTTCCCAGGAAAGTCCTCTCCAGAAATATCTACATTGAAATTTATCCCATTTATCAGATTTCTCCTGGCTAGGTCAGAGAAACGTTGCCCCCCACCCCCACCCCAAACCTTGTCATCCAATTCACAAGGGTGGGGTGGGCAGGACGGAATCATGGGTATTCAAGAAAAGCTTCTCAGCCACACTAGCAGCCAGAGAAATGCATAGAAGACAGAGATGCCACACAGGTGCACGTGAAGATTGGCAAACGTTTTACAGCTGGTATTTGTTATATATTGCTACATAACGAACTACCCCCAAACTTAGTGACGGTGCCCTTAAGATTCTGGGAATCCCTCTTATAACAAAGCGGGTCTAGGAGACACCCTCCTGACCTCTTATGACATCTCAAAATCAGAAAATGGTCTCACAGCTATACCCTTGAGGGATTCCCTCAAAATTTATCCTGAGACCAAATTTTACTGACAACAATGCAGATTTGATCTTTGCAACTTCTTACTTGGAGAACCTTCTGCTTGCTAGAAAGACCAGCCTGGCTGTCAACATTTCTTTAAACTGTGCTGTAGAACTAATCAGTTCCTTCTGTCATTTATCGTGATCTTGTAATTCAACAGAGGCAGCCAGAAGCAGCCATCTGTCCCTTTTAACATTCTGCCTGGAACTTTCCTGGCCAGATCTTCCTGGATGTGGTGGGTCTTGGAGTTCATTTCTGGGAAGAACCAGCCTCAGATGCCTTGTATCTTACATTTGCCAGAAGCAAGTAGAATGTGGTACCTGGATTAAATAAGGGAGCAAGAGGTACATCAGAAACTGTTTTAGATTTAGGACCTGCTGGGGAAAATAGTGAATTCTACTTCATTACTCTTGAGGCTTGAAGATTGTGAGCTTGCAAACATACGCTTGCAGATAGAATTATCTTGCAAAAAACAATGTCGTATGCAAAATCTTTGAGGTGTCCAATATTTGTCAGGTGGACTCTCTGGAGAGTCACTAAAAATGTTTATGTGAGGTTGGGAAGCAGGAGAATATTTTCAGTCAATTAACTATTATCTATTAGGCACCTATTTTTTTAGAAATCCCCACATGAAGAACGTGGGGTTGGAACCAGACAAAGAGTGAGGCATAGTCCCTGCTTTCGAACTGGGTAAGATTTTATAGGATATGATTTAAAGGAGTATGTGATCACATATGGCCAAGTAAGCACTCATTAAATAATTGCTTTTTCAGGGCGCCTGGGTGTCTCAGTTGGTTAAACATCTGACTTCAGCTCAGGTCATGATCTCAGTTTATGAGTTTGAGCCCTGCATTGGGCTTTCTGCTGTCAGCACAGAGCCTGCTTTGGATCCTGTGTCTCCCTTTCTCTCCGTCCCTTCCCCTCTTGCTCGATCTCAAAAAGAAGCATTTAAAAAAAAAAATGCTTTTTCAACTTTTTCTTGTTACCATAGATCCATTCTTCCTTAATACAGAATCACTAATACCCAGAATATCCTATTTACAAAATAAATCATTCTTGTTGGAAACTGATGGTTAATGTGAATTTAACTATCATCTGTAAAAAGGAAATTTATAAAAAAGGAAGTAACTTAAAATGTTGTAGTACAATGATACAGGTACTATGTATGGGTAGTACAGTATGATTCTGAAAGACACTGTTTGGAAAAAAGTATGGACTTATTCTGGGGTCAGGCTATTTTCTGCCTGTTTCCCAATTCCGTTCTTTTGCTTTCCCCCGCAGAGCGACATCAGACAAAGAGCACGGGCTTTGGGGTCAACAGATCTGCATTCAAATCCCAGATCTAGCACTTAAAAGCAGTGTGGCACTGAATGGGCTACTGTGATGTCTCCTATCTGTTTCTTCATGGGTAAAGAAGAGATGATTCTTTACAATCCTAGCCCATAATTCAGTGCCCAGCCAAGTGTAAGAACTCACTATTTGTTCAACGGCACATCAGACCCAACTGCAGTTTTCTGGGCACGTGGCTGGCATCTAAGGACAGCCAACCCCTTGGCAGTGCTGTCATGCTGGTTATTCATTTGGAGAACATTCACCAGAACTGCTTCTACCTTACTTTATTTTCCTCCAGGTAACATGTCAGTCCAACCATTATCAGCTCTCTTCTAGACGAAACACCTGATGGGATCTCCAATGCTCAAGCACGCATTTGTGCTTCACACTCTTGCTGTAGTTCAGGTTTTCTGTTATCATTGCATTCAGAATCTGGATGCCATGAATTACAGGTCTGTGGGCTGAACTGCAGACTTGTTCCTATGTTATTCTTCATTTCTGACTTGTGGCCATCCCCATGAGGTTTAAATGAAGACTCTGAGGTAGGAGCAGAGAGGTGTCAGGTTTGAGGACAGAATTCATTTGACATGGATGTTACATGTGATGAAGTGACCATCTGGAATAATGATCAGGGCAGAGGTCAGAGAGGGGGATGTGGGTGTGAGAGCCTGCTATGAGTGGGAGAGAAGCCACTGGAGGTCATAGTCTGCCAATATTTGTCAGATAATCCTATTTTATTACCTGAATGGTCTTGTTTGATCCTGTTACAGTTTTGCAACAGCACAGGGTTACCCCTGCCACTCATGGGCAGGCAGAGTTTTCTCCCATCCATACAATGCTGATGGAATAGACACCAGAGATACCAGCTCGAGATACCATTCAGATTAAATAAATACGCCTTAAGGAAAACACTGTGACTTTGTACAAGAGAATCTCCCTAGATTCTCCTAATTTTACAATTAACATCCTAAAACCCTGTGTATTTTCTTTCTTGGGGCCAGTGAAAACTCAAGGCCCCATGGAAAAGAAGCAAAATATGTCAGTATGTTGGAAAAAAACCTCTAGGATACACAAGCCAGCTGTTGGTTTGGAAAGTGGTGTCCTCTCAGTGCCAATGACTTCTTTGTCCAAACAGAGCTTACCAGGGTATATTTACGGGTTAATGATTTTCATAATAATTAAAATAAAAAGCTGATGATTGCTTTTGACCCATACAAGCCAATTTCTTACAGTTCAACCTAACACATTACTATATTCTAAGTTAATGGCTGTTTTTTTCAAGTTAGTATTTGGATTAAAGTTCCAATACTGAATTAGACTAAAATAATTAATTGAAAGCATAAGAGACAAGAAAAAGTATATGAAAACTTAATTTATTAGAGAATAATTTTTTTTTATTAAGTAAAAGCTTTAAACAAAAACCAGTAATTCCACAAACCAACAATGACTCGGTAGCATGCAAGTACTGTAGGCTGGAGAGGCATGTTTGCTCTTGATGAATCTATATATATAATAAACCCTCATTATGTTTGATTCCAGAATGTATGTATACATTGGCTTGGCATGATTCATAATTTAAAGTAAAATAGAAACATAAGGGCAACTTAAACACTGGTTTAATTTTTACGTGCCAATTCAAGGTCAGTGACAAGAGAGCTCCATTAAAAAAAAATCTGAAGTCACAAAGTCTTTAGGAAGCAGCCACATCCCTATGTACATTTGAAACTCGAAGGCTAAAAATCCATTCTTGATGAACACCATGAAGCAAAGGATGTATAACATCCACCACATATGTTTCAAAAGTGGCATGTTTCCAAAATTATCCACCTCTTTACATTCAAACATCACAGTTTGAATAACTACAGAGAAGCCATCAGAATGAGTTCCACAATATACTAACCCTCATGAGGCACCCCTGAGCTCTGTCTTAAAGCATCCACTTCAATCCTGGGGCTTTAAGAACATCTTCTTTACTTTAACTGGTTTTACGTGTCCATTTTCATCTTCTTCATAGTTGACCCGGTCTCTTTTTTTGGCAAACTTTTTTCCAATTGTCCCCACCAAGGTTTCATATCTGTTAAGACGGTATGCAGCACAAGTTTAATTAAATCCACAAACAAATAAGATAGGAATCAAGTCTTGTCAAGAATATCAAACTAAATATTCAGTGAATTATAACAAATATTCAATGATTATAAAAAAAATCAAAGCTGTGATCAAAATAAACGGATTTAAAATTTATAAACTTTTCTATGGATGATTAAATTCTTCACTGTGTTTTGTTTTTGCACTATCCTGAATAAACTGAGATGTATATTTTAAAATATGTATGGGGCGCCTGGGTGGCGCAGTCGGTTAAGCGTCCGACTTCAGCCAGGTCATGATCTCGCGGTCCGTGAGTTCGAGCCCCGCATCAGGCTCTGGGCTGATGGCTCAGAGACTGGAGCCTGTTTCCGATTCTGTGTCTCCCTCTCTCTCTGCCCCTCCCCCGTTCATGCTCTGTCTCTCTCTGTCCCAAAAATAAATAAACGTTGAAAAAAAAAATTAAAATATGTATTAGAAGCAGTACCCGTCATGAGCCCTCAACTGCCAGTGTGTGACAGGCATGAACCTGCCTGAGCCCAATTTAGAGAAAGGAGAAAGTCATCTTCCTGCTGGGGCACTCCAAGGAAGACAGTGGGGAAGAAGAGAACCCACGTGAGAGCCAAAGAATGCCGGACCCAGATTATAATGTGGTTCCAAGGTGACCGTTACCTTCTAGCCATTTCTTCATCTGATACATCGAGCTCCACTGTTTCACCTTCAACTTCCTCTGTTTTGTTCTTGGAGTTCATCTGAAGCATTAATTTCTGAAAAATGCAACAGCACTATCAGGGCTGGAACAGGCTTATTAAAGAAACTGGTATCAATTATATTTGAAGGTAGAGAAACAGAAGTCACAGAATCTACAGGAGTCACCAAAATTTATAGGGGATTCTCTGTAATACTTTACTCCACAATGTGCTAACAGAAGTCGGGTCTGAATGAAGAAAATAGTAACACAAAAAGCGCCACTAGATTAGACTTCCTGCTAATAAGTTTAAATTGTATTTAGATCATAAATCTTTTTTTTTTTTTTTTTTTGAAAGAGAGTGTGCACATGAGTGGTAGAGTAGGGTAGGAGAGAGAGAGAATCTTAAGCAGGCTCCATGCTCCGTGTGGACGAAGCCTGATGTGGGGCTCAATCCCAGGACCCTGGGATCGTGCCCTGAGCTGAAATCAAGAGTCAGATGCTTAACTGACTGAGCCACCCAGGTGCCCCTTGATCGTAAATCTTATTAGTTACTTATATCTAAAGCAGGCACACTGCCAACATGTTCTAGTGAGCAGGGGAAAGAAAAAAGCAAACTTTCAAATTTCCTCCAAAGGGGAATGAATGGAAGAATACTACACTCAAGAGTAATACTAAATGCAATCTTTAAAAATATTTTTTTAAGCTTATTAATTTACTTTGAGAGAGAGAGAGAGAGCGAGCGAGCGAGCGCATTACAAGAAGGCCCCATGCTGTCAGCACAGCGATGGATGCAGGGCTCAAACTCATGAACCATGAGATCACGCCCTGAGCTGAAACTAAGAGCCAGATGCTTAACCGACTGAGCCACCCAGGTGCCCCTAAATGCAGTTTTTTTTGGGGGGGGGGGGCAGGCAGCACATTACTGGATGGAAGAACTGGGAGGCTGGCTCTGATATCCCCGGAAGGACCAGCTTCACTCTGGAACAAGAGGGTGGATAATGCATACATGATGTCCACGTGCCACGGATCTCTCCTCCATTCTTTTTCTCACATTAACGTTTTCTTGATAGTTACCCCCTGAGAAATTTGTTTTTTTTTTTTTTAATGTACAATACCTTGTTTACAACAAAGGCAGGACAAGGAAGGGACAGCAGAAGAGAAACCAGATTCAGGTGGTTTTCCAGCATTTATAGGACTGAAAAGAAAATAATTTTGGGAACAGAAGCTCTGTGAGGGCACAGACTTTGGTTCTCTGCTGCACTCCAATGCCTCAAGAGGGCTGATGAACCACAGGTACAGAATAAATATTTACCGAATAAATGAACTCCATGCTAGGTGCCAGTAAAGACACATGCAACATTAAAAATGTGTTCTAAGTACATCCTGCTTATAATGAAGTAAGTGCTCTCAAGTTGGTACCTTTTCATAACCAGCTGTATACCTAAATTTTCTCATGTTTCATAACAGCTCAGATCTGTAAGCCAAACAGTTCAAAACATTTTCCCAGAGAGAATGTATTCTGTGTTTCAGAGTACCAGTCCTGAAAGCCATTTTCTAATAGGCTCCCACATCAGAACCCAAGGGCCAGGCCAACTTCTTTTCTCACTGTACAAGACATACTGTGGAGGGCTTGCCTACCCCCAGCCCCAGTCCCTGGGCATCGAACACTCATAATCTTTGCTTCCCCCGCCTCCCCCTTTACCCCACTGCCCTCTTTCTCTTCCTCTAAATCTTTAAGCAGGCCAAGGCAAGGAAATTACATATTAAAAACAAACACTTTTAGTGTTGATTTTGTGTAAGGTAAATATAACATCTTAATTATCATGCATCCTCAAAAAACGGAAAAAAAAGAAAACCTACAATCTTTGAATAAAGATTTAGCTAATCTGGCGATTAGCGTGGTGAACTCTGGTTCTCTTCAGGCATCCTTATAGAGTGGTTTTCAACCAGGGGTAGTTTTGTTCACCAAGGGACCTTTGCAATGTCTGGATACATTTTTGGTTGTCACAAGTGGGCCATGTGTGTGCACGTGCACAGTACTGATATCTAGTGGGGAGAGGCCAGGGATGCTGCTAAACATCTCAAAATACACAGATAGCTACAAAGAATCATCTGGCTCCAGATGTCAGTGGTGGCAGGGCTGAGAATCCCTGGCTTCACGTGATAGTCATCAAACTAAAAATTTACATCATAAACCTCCATTTGGTTGGCCAAGTACCTGATACGATGGCTTCTGGTACATGTGCCAGAATGCTAATAAATATTTGTTAAATGAATGTCTATGCTTCTCTACAAAACTGAGGCATGGAAATTCAAATCAACAGCTCATAAGGTGAATATTTACTTTTCAAACAAACTTTCCAAAGGATTCATTTAAAACTCTATTTACAAGCTCAGATTAAAACCTGTCCATTAAAAAGTCAAATTACTCGATTCTTAAGTAACGTTTTCCATTAGAAAAGATATGTTTCTAGATGCAAGAAAACAATTTTTCATACTAGCATCGCATGAATAAAACCTGGACGTTCTTGTAAAAGCCCGGAGTTGAGATTCTAACACTCATGGAAGCGCTGTCAGGGAGCGCGTGCTGCTGTATTAAATTATCTACTCAACTCCACCACAACGTGAGGCAGCAACACTGCAATTTCTTTAAATAGCTACAGCGGTATTTCAAGACTTGTTATTTTCTATATAATGAGAAGAAATGCTACCCGGTGGGAAAAAACCTAAACCCAATTATTAGCAGAAAGAATTCAATTGGAAAATTTTAAAATGGGAAGCAATTATATTTAATACCTCAACCTCAGGATTAAATCCTCTGAATGACATTCTTCCATAGAGAAGGTCTTCACATAACAAGAAGCTCTGCTCTTCTATTATGAAACACCTAAGCAGGAAAATAAGCCTGTGTTAATGGCATGTCTTCTTATAACAAAGCACAGCAAATAAAAGTCAGGATTTCAAATGAAAAATCGATCTTCCGGTTCTTAGCAGAATCAAGTAAAAGTAAGGTAAGACTTCTATTTTTTTTTTTAATTTTTTTAACATTTATTTATTTATTATTGAGAGACAGAGAGAGACATAGCGTGAACAGGGGAGGGGCAGAGAGAGAGGGAGACACAGAATCCTACACAGGCTCCAGGCTCTAAGCTGTCAGCACAGAGCCCGATGCGGGGCTCGAACCCACAAACCGCGAGATCGTGACCTGAGCCGAAGTTGGACGCTTAACCGACTGAGCCACCCAGGCACCCCAGTAAGGTAAGACTTATAAAGTAGGGGTAGAAATAAAAACTGATGACCTTGGCCAGCAAAGCCATTAGAAGACAAGAGCTGGAGGCTGCAGGCACAGCCTTGCCTAAACACATTTAATTGGCATAAATACCTACACAACATAGAGACCTAGACTATTTATGATAAACCTGAATTCTCCGGGGGCACCTGGGTGGCTCAGCCGGTTGAGCGTCCAACTTCAGCCCAGGTCATGATCTCGAGGTCCGTGAGTTCAAGCCCCGTGTCGGGCTCTGTGCTGACAGCTCGGAGCCCAGAGCCTGTTTCAGATTCTGTGTCTCCCTCTCTCTCTGACCCTCCCCTGTTCATGCTCTGTATCTCTCTGTCTCAAAAATAAACATTAAAAAAAAACAACCCTGAATTTTCCAAATCTGAAGCAGTTTCCTTGATGTTTACATCCCCAACCCCACCAACTTCTTACTAAGTTCTGATTAAATACCCTGAAGTCAGAGTCCCGGCCAGCTTTATGAGAGCGTATTAGCTGGAGCTCTTAGCTATAAAGAACAATGACTGACTTGAGCAGAGAAGGAATTTATTGAAAGGATACCAGGTATCTCACAGAATCTCTGGGATAGCTGGATGAGCAGGAATGGAAAATAGGCAGAAAAAAAGGTAGCTAAGTCGTCTACCCCCAACTGAAACATGGTAAAATCTATCCTGGTAAAAATGCTGCTGCACCTCAGGGGGCTAATCTCTGGACAGCAGAGGGCACTGGGCGGCAACTTGTGTTGCCCTGGAAGGAGGATGCAGATGTGTTTCAGACTCCAAAAGGGCTTCCTCTGAGTCACCAGTTTATTACCCCAGTCCCAGGTAAGCATATCTGACTACAGCCTGAAACCCTAAAGGGATCAACCATAAAGAACACTGGGAAAGTAAATACCTGGCCATTTTGGCTTCTTTGGCAGAAAGCAGGCCCTCCTTGTCAAGATTCACTCACTTAGCTAACACCTATTAAGCCAAACTGTGTGCCAGGCAGTGTTCTAGAAGCTGGGGGGACAGCCATGAGTAAGTCTCTGCTCTCAAGGAGGTCACATTCGAGAGTGGTGTCAGATGATAAAGATTTATATTATACAGTGGAAAAAGATGAAGGTTATTTCACTCCTGTCCTTAAGAGAGCAGCTGGTATCAAACTAGTCCTCCGACTTTAGCCAACGATAAAATAGGACTAAGTAGGAAACGAACAAGTCAAAGCACAGCGCTGTGATGCTTGAGAGAAAAAAACCAGATGAAGTAAGTTTTCTGACTAAAGGCAATGAATGCCCACCTTCTGACTGAAGCCAACATCTAGACTGTGGAGTGGGAGTGGGAGCCCAAACTAAGCCCGGTCTTACTGAAAGGAAAAGGGAAATTGAAGTTTGGGGATGAAGTATATGGGTCAAGAGACCAGAGATGGGGAGATATATAGAGGAATTCTGGGATCCTTTACGCAAAATTTTGCATATTTGTTTCCCTTGAATGTTTGGCCAAATACTAGACTGTACACATGCAGGTCAAGTACAACAGTGTCAGGGGAAAAAAACAATTTCCAGGAGAAGAATTACCTGGTACATTAGTTTCCTAGGACTGCTATAAGAAATTACCACAAAATGGATGGGCTAAAGAAACAAGAAATTTATGCTCTCAATTCTGGAAGTCTGCAATCAGCCTCACTGGACCAAAATCAAGGTGGTGGCAGAGCCATCCATGCTCCCTCCAGAGGCTGCAGAGAATTCATTCCTTGCTTCCCAGCTTTCTTTTGACAGCCAGCAGTCTGTGGCTTGTGATGACTGTAACCTCTGCCTTCTCTTCTGTCTCCCTTTTATAAAGATACACGTGATTGCATTTAGGGCCCACCCAGAAAATCCAGGATAATCTCCCCATCTAGAGATCTTTAACTTAATCACAACAATAAAGTCAACTTTGCCATATAAGCTAACATAGGTTCCAGGGACGAGGACGTGAATTTTATTTGGCGGGCCATTTTCTAGCGTACCATCCCTGAGAAAGAAAATTTACCCTAAAATTGTACGTTGAACAAATACAAGATTTGCACAAAGGAGGGAAATGTTTCAGTTGTGTCTATCTAGAGTGGGGGGACCAAGCTGAATATCCTGTGACATGGAAAAGAAAGGTCACCCTTCAGGAGTAGGACTCATCTAGCAAGACAGTCAAGGCCATAAAACCTACTCTAACAAAAACAGGGACCAAGCTGATTGGAATGTAAATCAATTGCCTAATGGAACAAATTCAACACTTTTTAAGGAAGGCAACAAATTCCAGGTACTCAACAATGTAATACATAATGTGAGGCCACAGTAAAAAGTTGCTAAACATGTAAAGAAGTAGGAAAATGTGACCCATAAACAGGAGAAAAACAAATAAATAGAAAAAAAGAGATGATGGAATTAGTACAAAAAGGAGTTTAAAACAGTTATATTAAGTATGTTCAAGGATTTAAAGGAACACAGAAATGTAATGAAGACACAAATAAGGAACGTGAATTAAAATATGGAAATTATGAAAACTTATCAAATAGAAATTTTACAACAGAAAATACAGTATCTGATGTGAAAAATCAGAATTGTCCTCTATCTATTAAAGAAACTAAATTCATTATTATGAGAGAAAACTCCAGATCCAGATGGCTTCACTGGTGAATTTTATCAAAAATTTAAGGAAGAAACAATACCAATTTTACTCAAACTAAGAAATGAGAAGAGAAGGAAGGGACACTTCCAAACTCACGTTATGGCTCAAACTACAGGCATTGTAAGAAACCTACAGTGGAATATCCTTTATGAATATGAATGCAGAAATCATTATTAAAATATTAGCAAATTGAAAGAACTATATATACAAAACATATGAATACCAAGGAGTGATTTGTTTCAGAAACATAAGGTTGTTGTGAAACTGAAATCTCAAGATAATTCCCATGTTAACAGAGGAAAGAAGAAAAACCATATGATTAACTCATTAAAAATCATTCGACAAAATGGGGCGCCTGGGTGGCGCAGTCGGTTAAGCGTCCGACTTCAGCCAGGTCACGATCTCGCGGTCCGTGAGTTCGAGCCCCGCGTCAGGCTCTGGGCTGATGGCTCAGAGCCTGGAGCCTGTTTCCGATTCTGTGTCTCCCTCTCTCTCTGCCCCTCCCCCCCCCTTCCTCCCCCTCCCCCCTCTCTCCCAAAAAAAAAAAAACAAAAAAAAAAAAAAAAAAAAAAAAACGTTGAAAAAAAAAATCATTCGACAAAATGCAACATCATTTACAAAAGTCTTCAGGAAACTAGGAAGAGAAAGGAAAATCTCTTATGCTGGTAAAGGACATTTAGGAAAACATACAGCATTTTATATACTTAACAGTAAAATAGTTAATACTTTCTCCCTAAGATCAGAAACAATGCAAGGATGTCCATTCTTATCATTGTACTGGAGATGCTAGCCAACAACAAAGGAAGAAAAGGAAATAAAAGTTTTAATTTTCTTCTCTGTAGATGACAACTGCATATGGAGATAATCTCAAGAAATCTCCACAAAACCACTAGAGTTGGTGAATCAATTTAGCACAGTACAGAATACATTTCTACGTATGCAAATACAACAAACAATTTTGGGAAAAAGGCTATTTGCAATAGGAATTAAAAATATGAAATACATAGGAATATATTTAAGGATATATACACAAAACCTCTCCACTCCAAACTACTAGCAATTACTGACGGGTATTAAATAATAGCTAAATAAATGGGTATATCATGTGTATGGACTGAAGAACACAATTTTGTTAAGATACCAATTTTCCTCAGATTGATTTACAGAATCAATGCAATGCCAATCAAAATCCTATTTTTTGGAGGAGAAAGGGAATCACGGAAAGAAATTAGTAAGCTGATTCTAATATTTATATGAGAATACAAAGGATGTAGACTAGCCAAAACAATCTTGAAAATAATAAAAGAAAACTTGCGCTATCTGATTTTAAGACTTCGAGACTGCAAGATTCAAGATTGCAATCCATAGTAATCAAGCCGATAGGATAGAAAAACTTATGGTGCAAAAGAATTGAGTCCAGAAAAAGACCCATACTAATACAGCATATTGCTTTTGACCACAGCATCAAAACAATGAGTAAAGAAAAATATTTTCTTTAAATAAATGGTACTGGGACCATTGATTTTCTATAGAAAAACAAAACAAAACAAAAACAGACCTTGATTTCTACCTCACACCACACAAAATCACACACACATAAAAATCAAAGACAGATCATACATAAAAATGTAAAAGCTAAAATTACAAACATTCTACAAGCAAACATAGAAACTATATTTGCAAATTTGGTACAGGCAAAGATTCACTAGAAAGGACCCAGAAAGAACTAACTATAAAAGGCAAAAAAATAAATGAAACAAAACAAAAGCTACTGTTCATCAAAGACAACATTAATAAATAGGCAAGCCCACAAACTGGGAGAAAATATTCCCAATATATACATCTGTTAAAGGATCTGTATTCAAAATATAAAGAACTCCTATCTCTACAGAAGTATGTAAGTTTTACCTAAAAAACAAAATGGAACAAAACCCTACATAATGACATGCATGCTGAAGTGTTCAGAGAGAA